TTCTGCTAAATGGTCGTTGGGACAATCGCCAGCTCCAACCCAAAAGTTCTGGGGAAAATCGGCGGAACTTATTACAGATGGTCGTGTAAGAATGGTTCTGAGGCTTCCGGATGGCATTGAGGAAAGATATACTTGGAATGTCGCGACTGTGTTTTTGAGAAATGTAGTGATGGGGGAGAAATACGTGGAACCGGTAGGAAACATGACGATTACGAATGAAAGTACAGGAGCAAAAGCGTTGGTGGAATTCAAACAAAAGGGGATGTTTGGAGGTCGAAGCGAAGATGTCGGCGTGGAAGCGTATGATGGGGAAGGGAAACATACAGGAATTAGTCTTCAGGGAAACTGGACCAGTTCGCTCAAACTCGTCGAAGCAGGACGTTCCGGGACGGAGATCTGGAAAGTGGGAGAGCTGGTGGATAATGCGGCGAGCTGTTATGGGATGACGACGTTTGCGGCGCAACTTAATGAAATCACGGAGATTGAGATGGGGAAGTTGGCGCAGACGGATAGTAGGTTGAGACCGGATCAGAGGGCTGCGGAGGGCGGGAAATTGGATGAGGCGGAGGATATTAAGGCGAAGTTGGAGGAGGCGCAGCGTAGGAGGAGGAGAAGTATGGAGGAGAGAGGGGAGCAGTGGAGGGCGAAGTGGTTTGTTAAGGTTGAGGGGGGTGTTGAGGAAGAAGGAGAGGAGGTGTGGGGTTTAAAGGGAGGAAAGGACGGATATTGGGAAGAAAGAGAGAGGGTTGTAAGAGGGGAAGGAGGATGGAAGGGAGAGGGTGTTTTTGAGGTTTAGAATGGGGAAATCTTGGTGTTGATGTAGTCACGAATAGATTTCAGATCTGATAAGGGATTAAGAAAAGAAAGAAAAGAAAGGGAATAGAAATCAAACTAGATATCTAGAAGTAGTACCGTTGGTATATGATTTTGAATTATTGATATTGATCTAATATTTCGAGGTTATCGATGAAAGAAAGAAAATCTCATCTAAACATTTATCAGCACTTGTATTTTTTTAGCATCTCAACTCTTCTAGGATAATCTTACGGTATATGAGTTTCGCTTGGTTTTTCGGCGAGGAATTCGTCATGTTATTAGCCGACCCGGGTGGTCTTCAGAAATAACACCGAGTATAATGACAAGGTTTGATTTGGTACAAATATCGTCGATGATGACTTTATTGATCTTCTAGATATTCCGCACGATAATAATGTATGTAGCGCATGTTGATGAATAAGTATGTTTGTTTGTTTGTTTGTTTGTCTGTCTCTCTGTCTGTCTGTCTAATTCAACCTACAACCTAGAAACCCGCTCTCGAATGCCGACTCGCGTCAAGAAATTCAAATCCCCCTTCATTCCTACATCCTCCCTTCTTCCTCCTTCCATCTCCATCTCCATCTCCATCTCCATCTCCATCTCCATCTCCATCTCCATCTCCATCTCCATCTCCATCTCCATCTCCATCTCCATCTCCATCTCCATCTCCATCTCCATCTCCATCTCCATCTCCATCTCCATCTCCATCTCATCGTACAAAAAATTGCCGACTCGGCGAAAAACGAAAGGGAATATCAAATACCACAATGCATCGCCGACCTAGAACCGCTCGCTCTCCCAGAAAAGGAAAATCCCAAACTTTTCTCCTTCCTTCCTTCATGACCTAACCTAAAATGACCCAATGTCCATAAACTCCTTGTTGCTGGTATCATTCGTGATAAAATAGATACCTTTCAAACCCATGCATGCGCGCGTAGAAAGACCGCCTATGCTGTAAATCGTTGCTGTGTGATGAAAAAGAGAAAAAGAAAGAGTCGGTCTGCTCCCAGAGTTGATCATGCAATTTGATCGATTTAGTTTCTAGTGATCAATGCACTATCACCTTGGTTAGTCTATTTTGTAAGGGCACAAAGCGTAGTGATGAATACTCACGGTAAACTTTGCAAGACAACCTCATTATTCTGATAATGGGTCATGAAACCACCACCTAGGACTCTTCTTAAAGATTGTAGCTTATGTAGTTTCCACCATTTATCAATCTTCATAACTCCACTTTTATGAATGCGGACAAACATTCGAGATCCTAGCAAGTGGCCATTCTCATCGATAACATTTGAGTATCTAGGTCCTCGAACTGGGTATTTGACTGTGGCTAAAACATCTGCAAAGGTAGCATGTAATGTTTTCCGATCTTTCTTGGATATAGATTTGGATGAGGCTTTTGCTAACTCTCCAAGTGTGTGTTCGAGTTGATGTCTTTGACGCCATGGCTCGTAGCGTTTTACTTGACTGACATCGAGAGGGAAACCATGTTCATCTACCTTTTCGTTCTCGCTGGCCTCAGGATCGTCCGATTCTCGTGGTGTATAACTTTTTTCGTAGATTATGGCGATGTTCTCTCCAGCAGCAATTTGAACAGATGTTGAGGAACTTTCTAATTGGTCGACAAATGCCTCCATCGCTGCCTCGGACTTTTCTTCCAAATCATCCACAAAGGTAGCTAAACTACCCCATTCTTCACAGGCTGCTGTAACAACTTCCGGACTATCAGGAGCGTCTACTGAATTGCCATCAGATTCCACTATTTCCAGAAACTCATCCATAATATTATTGATTTCTGTCTCGGATGCGCCACCGTAGGTTGCCAATGCAGCGATTGCTCGTATAGCTGCTGCTTTGACGGTAACATGCTCTGATCTTTGGTAGGCTTGTTTGAGGGATCGGAATATATCTTCGTAAACATCATCGGAAGGACAAGTAATAATTGTAAGGCCAATAGCTGTGATATGATTAGAAAAAAATACCCACAAATTGTATGATGATGATAGCGCATACCTCTTAAAGCCAAACAAGCTTCCTTTTCTCCCGTGTCGGCTTTGATACTTTTGCACAAAGCAGGATATAATTCTGCGACTTTACTTTCGATTTCGTCGTAACAATATCTAATCATGAGATAATGATTATATGCCATTAAAGCACGTTCTCGACCCTCCTCGCTGCTTCGCTTCCGATCCACGATTTCTTCAATGCGATCACTTAATTCTTGATCCCAGACATCGGATGCATCTTGTGGTTCTGGCGCATCGAGCATATCATCGACGGAATTAACACTGTAAGAATGTGTGAGTAAAAGGAATACTAAAGAGATAGATATTGTTATGAGGGGACGAGTATATCTTACCTCCATGTTGTACTATCATCGTCGCTCATATTTCCATCTTCCTCATCCGAGCCGTGGCGACTGACATTTCGCGAATTCGATTTTGAATTTACGGTTGATACTGGTTTCGAGCCTACACGCGATGCAGCTTTTTTGGATACCGTCTTATGACTTTCCAGTACTCTTCTTCTTAGATCTCTCGTCATTTTGAACGAGATTTGATTTATGTAGTGTTTGTGTATGTGGTGGTTGTGAAGTTGTGAAGTTGTCAATGCGAATATGTTTGTGATTCTTCGATTCTTTCCAGAGTGCTTAGACAATGAGATGGTTGTGAGAACTTGGGATAAATATTTGTAAGGTTATTCTTTTGATAGGTTTTAAAATATGGGATCTTTATGAGTCATCAAGTAAGAAAATGATAAATTGTGAATCAAGAAATCATTTGAGTGTATTTTTTGGGCCTATGATGAAATACATTGTGTGAAGAGTATAACTATATACATATATATAGCTAATAAGGTGGCACCTAGGCAGGATGTACAGAAGTGCATCCAGTGAATCAGGATGATGGAATTATTCAAGCATGTGCATTTTTTAAGGGGAGGTGTGTCTTCCTTGTCGCCACTAGTCGTCAGATAAGAACGATTGGTGACGGAATTATCATGTACGAAGGAGCGATAGTGAACCTGGAAAAGAGGTTGATGTTGATATGGATAAGTTGAGCTGGGTTGTGAGAGAGGTGTACTTGGAAGAATGGGAAAAAGGATGGGAATCAATCAAACCAAATCAGATTAGTAATATTCATCAGGTATTTCTATAAAACGTATTTACCAAGCCATATTACTTGAATTAAGAATAAGAGTACGATGCAATACCGGTAAGAGGGCGATACCACTAAAACACTAGGTAGGTACCTAACTAGGTCTACAGATATTAGGGCGAGAATCCAAAGTAAAATCCAATTCCCACTTTTTAGTGCGTTTGTAATTATTCCCCGTTTGTCATGCACTGCGAATGATATACCGGTATGTGACTGCTTCTCCATCATCATATACTTCGTAGGAAGTTCCATCATTTTCGCCTGAATATCAAGGTTTCCATGACCCCTCACGTGCCTCACGTATCATAAAATCTGGGGTCAATCAACCAATCCACCCATCTATCAATCCATGACGATCCCTTATCGATAACACTAAAACCACTTAAATTCCTTAAATTCCTTAAATGCCTCTAATGCCTCATAATTCCTCATAATTTACCATAGCTTAGATCCATTCGTACGACCAATCTCGCCAATCCCAATGGATTACCATACATATTTCCAGTAGTTTTGCCTACCTAACCCAGTACCTGATAAGCACCCAAGTACCTAGTACCGCTTCTGCTTCAACTTTTGACTCTAACCACACCCGTACCAACCCCTCCTCTCCACTCTTCTACCACCTGCTCTCCCTCACTCTCTCTCTCACACACTTTCAACATCAACATCAACATCAACATCATCTTCAAAGACTCTCGACTCTATTTAAAGAAAGAAAAAACACACAACAAAACTCGGTCGTCAACTGTGACTTTCTTTGGACATAGAGAGAAAACACATATTGAAACATTTGGCTGGCCATTTGCACTACGTCTACCAATATCAACCCATTTCAATCTCACCCTCCGAAGGATCCACCGCCAACGAATACAGATAGCCTCGTCCTTGCGTTTCACCATCCCCAACCTGAATAACGTCGTACAATCAATTTCATATTTAATTTCCACAATTCCCAAACACTCGATCACTTTCCAGAGAGCTCGTACAGACTGTGAGAAGTCTTGACAGCTCAAAATCCACAGGATGTCTCATCAAGGTATGAAAATGATGCATTTCATCTTGCTTCTCCACTTTCGATCGTTCATCTATTCTTAAGGCTACAGCTATGCGTCATATTGCTTCTTCCTCGTCTCCTCAAATATCTGCCGAGTTTTATACTCAGAGTACTCTCGATATCATTTTATGCAGATTCCATTTCACTATTTGTTCCTTTCGTGAAGATTTGTACTAAACCTTCCACAGTGAACATTCACATACGCCACAAACCAGTCGAATCAGAGGAGGACTTCCTATCTTGCAGCGAGAGATTAATCAATCTCGACCCAACACGAACAGTGTTGCAAATAGGCAGAGCTTCAAAGAGTCCTAGCAAAGGTCTCTTCGGTGCTATTGACAATGCGTGGTTCGATAGCCCGGTAATGTCTCGAAGTCATGCCGAAATCATCTATAACCCTTTGGACAATGTAAGAATACTCTATGCTTACCTATTGTTGGTAGGCTTGTGTTGACTTCTTCTAGGTTGTCCAAATTCGAGACTTAGGTTCAATGCATGGTACTTTTTTAAATGGAGAAAAGTTGGGAGAAGAAGCCAAACCTCTAAACTCAAATGATCAAGTTGTCTTCGGTATTGGTGTGAGACGTGGTATGGATCTGTTCCAACCATGTCATTTCGAGGTCAACTATGAAGTAATTCCATGGAAGTGAGTATCACTTACACCGTTTTCTTATAGCAAACACTAACCTCACTATTACAGGAGACCTAATACCTACACTGTATCCGACTCCTCCGACGACGAAGACGAAGAAGATGAAGGTTGCCATTTCAATGACACAGAAATGTTTGAAGGCGCTTCCAGTCCGGCTGATACATCTATCGAAATGACTCGCTCTAGCCCTACTACATCTAAGACTGTTGTTGCTATCGACCTGACTGTGGACGATACTCCAAGCCCTAGATTGAAGCCGACTAAGCCTTCTTGCATTCCGACTGACGAAAGAACTGAGGAAGACGAGTACACTCCCAAGCCACCAGTCTTAGATAGTATCGCAGGAGATTCTCACCATGGTGTAGGACCAAAGACAAATCCACAGCAAAAAGTTGACCAGCCTCGAAAGGCGTCTTTCAAATACACTTTCAATTACGATAGCAATGACGACGAAGACGAAGATATGCTTTCGACACAATCTGATCCTGATGATTCTGATAGGGAAAACTCATCCGAATTGGAAGGTTTCAGGGATTTTGAGGATTTACCTTCTCATGATGATGTCATTGGTGAAGACGATAGCGAAGATGAATCAATGTCCGAAGCATCGGAGGAATCAGAGGTTCATGTTCTGCTAACTGAAAGTCGTGGAGCACTTGATGAGATTCCATCTTCATATCCTTCGTTAGATTCGGATTCATCGCGTGCATCATCTCCTGCTCTTGAGGCCACCCTCGCTTCGATGGTTTCACAGACCATCAACTCTCGAATCCCGTTTGACAATAATGCGGGTATTCCTGAATCTCATGTTAGAACTCAGATTCATACTTCTGAAGAGGTTATCGCGCTCAACGAACAAAACAACGATGGTGAAGATGAAGTCGATGACGATGATCGAAGTGTTGGACTTTCGGAAGCTGCTAATGAAGGTCTACAAACATTATACAAAGACGGTTTACTCAAGAAAGAACCAGGCACCAACCCTACCCGTCTTTCCGCTAGCTATACACCTTACGCTGAAATCTCTTCCAAGTCCGGTCTCGAGAGCTACTATGCTACTTGCACTCCTGCCTACGATGCTCCTTCACCTTACGACTTCTATAAGCCTCACATAAACCGTTCTTCGATCCCTGCTCGCCAAAATGGAAATTCTCACAACGACTATTATTCTCTCATCAAACCAAGATCACCATTTTTTTCTTATTACGGTCGAGAGACTAGTCCTTCTTCAGTGGCAATGGCCAGACCACCTTACCAGGAAAATTATATCGATCAAAGTCCCGAAACATTATCTGTCAAAACCCTGGGTGATAAAACTGGCAAGCACGCTTTTTTTGAAGCCAGAGAAGAAAACAAAGTACAATTCCAAGCTCATGTTGATGAGGAAGAGACTCAAGTAACCCAATGCTCACCATTCTCAATGGCAACAAGATCAAGCCGGGCTACCAAATTCGCAAAACCCTTGGCTAAATTCGTACAACCTATACTACCCATCAAATATCACGGCAATGGTATCGATCATGGTTTTGTAATTAACGATCGCCCGGTTTCTAACATTGAGCCATCTCAAGACCGTCCTTCAATTCATCCATATTACTTCAGTTCAGACGCCTCATCAAGAGCTGTTGAGAGTCCAGTCGTAGAAAAACATCCTATTAGATCTGGCCTAAGTATTGACGACATCATTGATAGCTCTTCAGTGGGCATGAAGAGAAAGGCGGATGAGATTTCCCACGATGAATTAATTAAAAACGAGGTTCGAGATTGGGTTTCTGGTGTCCACGACTCTACAAAGCCCCAAGCTGCTATGGTCACACAAGAAGAAACTACTGGCCCTGAATCTTCAGTACATACAACTCATACCATCCATCACGCCCAGGAGGTTCAATCAGATGTGCAACTGGCCACAACTAATGCTGCGACCCAACAAAACAAGCTTGCAGTCTTGGCTAGCACTACTACAACTGATCCTGAACAACGACCAGTTAAGAGAATCAAGATGAGAAAGTTTGTCGAGGCTGTAGGATACTTTGCACTCGGAGGAGCTGCTGTTGGTGCTGGTTTATTTTCGGCACTTGTAGCAACAGCTCCAGAATTCGTTTAAGCTCAGTAAGGAACAACAATCTGAGCCGAATTTACAATGATTGTTACTCTTACAACATAACAGCAATTTATCGAGAAATTGTGAAGCGGAGAGATAATGGGAATGGGAATAGGTATCGGGGAAATGGTGAAATGGAGGATATTATACCATGGTATTGACGAAAGAAGCACTGGGTGCATTTCTTATTCTACCTGAATTGCGATTGGTTAATGTTTCTGAGTATTGACAAAGAATATATGCCGCGTTTTGAACGTTGCGTGGCTGGCGTTTGAGGGACTAACGTGCTGACTGTCAATTTGTTTACGAGGATAGTGGGATGGATGAATTTGGTTGCGATGGATAAACGGTTTCTTTGGTTGATTGTGGGATGAAGGGGAGTTTTTCATATCACAACATACAATAGGTACTATGGCCTTTCTCATCTGTTTTTTGTTCATTGGCTTTGGTTTTGGTTTTTACAATGGTGCGGATGGATAGGGAGTAGTTGGGATTTAGTTGAGGCAACCATTAGCCGGGTAGTTATGAAACATAAATATGCTGAGATACTAAAATATGCTTAGTAAATACAAAAAAAAAATAGAAAACTTGTAAAGCGTTGATGAAATGTGATTGTGGTGTATGATTTTCCGTTGAGTGTTTGGATGGGTGTCACAGTGGTATGTGATGTAGAATGTGTTAAATGTCTTTCTGATTCATGGAATGGATATTGGATTCAATATCGGGAAGAAACTTTACTTATTCAAGACTGGGAATGGAACTAAATGAGTGATTTTGAGGAGGTGTTTGTGGGTATTTGGACGTGGTTAGAAGGGGAATTCGGAATAGTGATAGTGGGAGTAAGATGATGGAGTAGGATTTGAGAGAAAAGTGATAGGTAATGGAATAGAATAGGATAACATGGGATGAGATGGGATGGGAGTGGGGAGAAGAGAGTGATGGGTGAGATAGGGAGGGAGTAGAATGGGATGGGATGGGTCGAATGATATAAGAGTGATAAGAGGAATAAAAGTAATGAGAGATGAGTAGTTGAGTTGAGATGGGATGGGATTGGGTGCGGATTTTGGGATGAGAGTAGGAAAAGGATGGAGGGGAATGGGATAGAAGGGAATGGGTTGGGTTGGATAGGATTAGTTGGATTGGACTGTTGATAGGTAGCTGGAGGTGGGTAATTGGAATGTAAGTTGGGTTTAGGTTGTGATGTTTGGTGGGTTGAAAGTTTGGGAATAGAGGTGGGGTGAGGGAGTGATGGATGGATGGATGGATGGATGGGTGAATAATGTGGTAATTGTAGGGGAGCATCTTAATTGATGTTTGTTAGTTGGGGATGGGATGGGATGAGATGTGATAGAATTCTGATATTGTATGGATGGGTTTAGGGATGGCGAGAGGGGGGAAGGGCAGTATATGTTTCTAATAGTGATAGAGAGGTAACTAGGGCTGTGGTAAGTGGTAAGTGGTTAGTGGTGAGAATGAGGATGAGGATAAGATTGAGCATTTTCAGGCGGCTATTGGCTATCCGAAAGTGAGAGTAAATCGTGGGGTTTGTAATCTTACAAGATGAGGACGGGGAGCGGGAATGTATGAAGAGGATGTATGGAAACTGAAAAGGGTGGTGGGTGGGAGGAACTAGGTGCTTGAGTTATTGAATTGGGCTTTTGGGGGGGGTTAATGTTAATATTGATGTTGATGCGTATTAATAAATGATATTTAGGGGATAAGTCTTAGGGGGGTGTAGACTGAGAGATTGAGAATGGAACGGAATGGAAGGGGTGGGATGGGATTGAAAGATGGATTTGTGTTTTGTTTTCTCTGGAAATTCTGATCTGTGTCTAGGGGATGAGAAGAAGATTGTGGAAGGGGATGGGGATGGCGATGAGAAGGGAGATTGTGGAGAACGTGAAATCTAGGGCGGTTTTGACGAGGATAATAATGATCGTGGGTTTAGGGGATCAATGCTGGATTTATCTAATGTGGTGAGAGAAATGGTTTTATGAATAGATTATAGTATCAAGTGAGATGATAGTATAGATATATATATATATATATATAACCTGCATTAGTGGTTGTTATTGCAAAGAGAGATGTGAAATGAAACAGGAAGCCAGATGGTGTTTATGAAATTATATATCTATGAGTAACTACGTACTCAGGCTTCGAGACAAGAGAAGGTTCTGAGCATATCGAGGGATTTTGTTTGAGGGTTTGGAGTTTGGAAATTGCGAGAAATGAATGATAATATAGAGGTAAGAGACTATGAGATGGATGGCTTTACTTATTCTATCTATTTATTTCTCCGTTTTATTCATCTATTCTCATCTCGTGGAATTGAGTTATGTGAGTAATTAAATTGGTGAGTCACCAGCGGATGTGTGAACTGACGGGACACTTCTCTACTTTTATAATTTGTCATAAATGAATTGTTCAATCCTGAGTAAATTATTACAAATTTTTGCAAGATAATGAAACTAGTTTTGCAAGAGATGTTGTCAGATCATTTTGTACAGTGTTCTGTTAGTTCATATATCGACTTAAGAATCACTACACCATGCTCAAATTCAAATCCTAATCTTGCTTACTATATCACTCTTCCACATGTAAAAATAAAAATAAAAATTGGTGATTTAAATAAATAACTAAATGGATAGATGAAACAATACTCATAAATTCAATCGAATCTGATGAAGATGACGATCGCGGCTCGCTCGCTTATGAAAGGGGTACTGGGGTGGAGTGGGTCTGAGTTTTGGTTTTTATGAGTGATGAATTGTGAATGATTAAAGAAGGGAATGGGGAATGAGGAATGAGATTTATAGAAATCAAAGGAGGTGAATATGATAATGATGATAATGATGATAATGATGATAATGATGATAATGATGATAATGATGATAATGATGATAATGATGATAATCTATGAGAATCAGGATGTATAGCATAGATTTTATCTGCGTTTATTAGGAAATATAATATAATGATTCAATTTCGCACAGAGGGGCATGGGAATCGAAATCTGAAGAGACATGTCTAAGAAATATATTTGTGGTTTTTTTGTTTACATAACTATATATCTATCTATCTATACAAATTCATAGTCAGCGTAGCTTAGCTATAGATAGACTGAATCGATTAAGAATTTACTACTACCACTACTACTATACAAATCTTTTGTCTGAAAAAGAATTGAGTTAGTAGGTACAGATTTATATTTATAATTTAACTTGAGATTTAGTATCAACTACTATAGGATAGATAACTTATTTCATTTAAAGAAGGGGTAGTTGAATTGTATAGTCAGTCATACATAGAGTTATGATCTTAAATCTATTCTATCAAGTCCCGTAAGTTTATATGTAGATACCGATCTTTTTGCTTAAAGAGTACATTCATATATCTGTTCTTGCTTATTTGCAAGTAGGTAAGGAGGAAGATGTATAGAATTCCTGAGTTTAGAAGATTATCCGGTTGTGTTTTTCGAGATTCTATACTTATTAGATTACCCACTACATTTTAAGTCTTTGAATTTTAGCTAGAAGGTCGAAGGAGCGATGAGGACGTACAGCAAAGATTGTGATATAAAAGAGAAGGAGGAAGAGAAATGTTTGGAGGATGGGAAATTTTCAAGCTCAGTGAATGAGTATGGTACTATAAGAAAACCACTAAAGTATTTGAAATCCCCAGGGAATAATAGTCGCTAATGTCGATTTGACTACTATAACAGCAAATTACGTACAGCCCCAAGAAATCTCGATTCCGCGAAGGAGCAGAGAGAGTCAAAGAAAGACACTGAGAAGGCTAAAGATATCAACCTCGTTTCATTGCGCCACCAGAAGCAGATGTATAATCTATCGCCCAGGAGAAAGAGTTTAGAAAGAGGTATGATATGTTATCTTAATATTTTTGAGTATCTTAGGTATCTAACGACTAGCTTAAAGAGAAGTGTCTTTTTGTTGAGATATAATCTTTAGAGGATCTTTTGCATGAATATCAGAAGAATTGGATAGGTATAGTGGAGAGGATGGAGAGATACCGTTTGTTTTTGTTTGTATCGATGGGATAAAATTTTAAATGTAGTTATAATATTAGTTTCAAGGTGATAATTGAAATGTTTTAATGGTAGTATACTCGTAGGTGGAGATTATGATTTCCGAGGAAAACTGTGCGGTTGTGATTCTTTTGCGCTTTGTATTTTGAAAGATCTGATAGAGGAATTGAGAATATTCAAGATATCGAAAAGAGGGGGAGCAGGCCATGTCGATCTAGTGTTTTGAAATTCATGATGAGAAAGATTTGAAGGATGTTTGAAGATTTATCTAGATGTAATTTACACGATCCGAAATTGTTTTAGGCACATATATATATGTATGGAATGAAATCAATCACGATATTGAGAAGTTATAAAAGCCATTGATGGGAGAAACATAAAATTTCCAAGTTTTCCATCCCACACCCGTTAATCCACCCATCATATATTTCGTATCTACATTGCCATTTATACATATTCCAATCTATTTACAAGCATCTAATCCCGCCGGTTGCGATATAGGAATTTACCACTACACCGCATCCAGCTTCATCTAGGATCTAGGGGGATCCAACTCAGGGTTGGCCTCAGTGTCAATCCCAATGGTAATATATCCAATCATTCCCTTGGTGATATCTTCTCCATCAACTGCAACAATATCCATAACCGGATTGTTTCCATGTGCGAAACCACCGGTGTAGTAGTTATCCTCAGCATTGGTGGTGTGGTTGATTTGAGTATGGCTTACATAAGGTTCCTGGGCCATGATGGTCTCGGTAATAGTATCGTTGAAATAGAAATGACCGATAGAGTTTGAGTTTCCGGTTAAAACGGTACCATTGGAGTGGAGAACATAGTTGGTGAAAACTAGATTCTGCGTTAGCAAATGAATTCTGAGATTTGATACAAAATTCAGAAGTTTTGTAGGCGGCAAAGGAAATCTACCTTGAGCATGAATATGAATAGTTCTCTGAACATAGAACCCAGGGAAAACAGTCTTCATCTCCAACATTCCCTCACTCCAAACCTCAAAAATACATACACTTCAATCAACTATTTTCCCCTTCAAACCACCCAAAATTCCCATAAAAACAACTTTCATAAACAAACCCTAAGCAGCTCCATCCAAAAATCAACTTTTAATTCCCAAAATACTATTTTCTCAAATTACTATCCAATTTTCAAGTCGCGATATTCCCCCAAATCTCAACATTTTCTTAGCGAAAAAGTTGAAATCAACTTTTTTATTCTCATATTCAAACAAAAAAGTTCAAGCAAGCCAAAAAAAAAAAAGTTGAATTAAAACCACCATGGAAACCCCAGAAAAACAGAAATCAACTATTTCAGATATGCAACAAGAGAGTTCGAAAGGGTTGAGATCACGAGGTTGTACTGTTTGTGGTTGGTTCATGGGATGGGGGATTGTTTTTCCGAGAGCCGAAGTTGTGCCATGAGGTTAGGGTGTGGCACTGGAAGGACTGAGTGAAAAGACTGGAGGGGATGGTTTAAACAACTTTTTCTTCTTAACTTATGGATAGAGTGCAATTGATCTTTGATTGTGAGAAACTAGAAGTTTGAAAAGTGTTTGATGAATAGATTTTTTTGTTATGAAACGTTCTGAAAAGTTCTGAGAATTGAGATTGAATCTAGAAGTTTATTATACTTATCAGATATACATATAACCTTAATAAATACACCAAAAAAACAACTTTACATATATATAACAAAAACAACTATTAATCATACCATACTTAAAACAACGGAAATCTCAAACTTCAAGATTGAATTTCAAAATTATAATCTTACTATAAAAGAACCAACACTTTCTAACTTCTAAAAACAAAAGTAACTGTACATACATATGTATTTGAATAGTACAGATCAATCATCAATCCACCTTTCATAGTATATATACAATATACACAATAAGAACCACTAACTTACTCTTTTGTGATATACAATTATATATAATCTTAAGGTAATACTACCAATAATCCCGACATCTTGAACTTTCAAGGTCTTCGCAACGTGAATTTTTAAAATATCGCGAGTTGAGTAAAGATGGCTAGGAATAAGGTAGAGAGAAGAGGGAAAAGAAGTCTTTCCTCCTATTCCGCACTTGACCCGAGCAGAAAAACTATTACTCCCTCAGCACTGGGCAACCTCATCCTATCTTTCCATAGAGCCTATCTCCTACCCACAGCTTCACTACAACCATGCGTCCCCCTCTCTCTTCCAGCTACATCTTCCTTTTCCTTCCATTTCATATACACTCTGCATGTCTTCCTCACAAAACTCAATCCAATCTAATCCAATCCCTTCCAACTGCCCCTCACCGAGCTGAGCTGAGCCGAGCTGAATCGAATCCAATGCCAAACTTCCCTGATACATACATACACACATGCATATCACTTCACGGAACATCATCATCATCATCATCATCGTCACCATCATCCACACTCTCACTTCTACCCTCCATAAATCTCCCTCACAATACACTACCTTGCATAACATCATATCGCAGCCCCCTATTCCGATACAAGCTCTCATTTACCCATTTATTTATCCATACTCACCGTGTAACACACCGACAGCAGTCATCAACACTATCCCATCCCAACCCACCCCACAACCCAAATTCCACCCCCAAACTTTCAATTTCCCAAATCATCAAAACGGTCTAGACTCACCCCCCTCTCTTCCCTCAGAAAGCCGATTTCAATAAGTGGAGTTGTGGGGTAGTGGGGTGTTGAAAGAAAGAGATATAGAGACAGAAAACCAAAGAGAAAGTAAGCATGCAATAGACATACATGACTGCATACAATATGCACAACGAATGGCTGCACATCTATATTACCCATCTACGCATGTAAGAAAGCCATTTCGCGGTATATATAACCACAGTGTCTATTTCTGTAAGTAGATTGGTTGATTTATAAACCAATGGAGTGAGTATCAACGAATACATTCTGAGGGCTCTTTCGCTATCAAGGTGGTGTGATTTGATGCATGTGATATGGATATGTATAATTATGATGATACTTGGAAGCAAAGAAGAAGTAACGCAGGCAGTCAAGCTCATAATTTGACGTACATCATTATTCGAGGTTACGTTCGAGATACCGGTTATTTCGATTCGGTCAAATAGCTGACCGTTGGCACCTGAAACAATCGTCACCACGCATTTAATATGCGAAGTACTATAAGTATCCAGAAGGGACCTTGCAAGAACCGAGACACTTATCTATGTATGCATGTAGATCCTTGAATTTATCTTCAGAACTAAGGAATTCATGGATTCAGCATATATAATACCTCACGGCTACCTGCGTATACGGTGAAGAGCCCGACTGAAAGGATAGCGATGCTATGCACCAACTGTCCGTTTCAACTCACGCCACTGAGATTAGCTCATGCCCGAGTGGAGAAGTTGAATTAGACTTATCATATCTAATCATGAAGATACAAGTGATCTTGATCGGATGAAACACGAATCAGAAGGAAGGATGGGTAGAAGGAATGGAAACTTGCATCGATTGCTATCCGTTGGAGACCTCTACTTTCCGACGGGAAGAATCGATTGGTACTTGGACAGATGGTTCCATAGCCTCGGGAGGATGTACCTGGGCAGGATTATTCCGGCTTGGGAAAGTTGATTAAGTCGTCTTCCAAATGGAGGAACTAGCTGGGTAGTATTGCGGTTCGTATTGCGGATACGCACATATACGGTTCTGCCCGACTCCGGCGAACAAAATGGCGTTTTAATATGCAATTCATCCTCCAGCCCTGAGTAAAATGGTATGATAGATCATATCATATCTTATCAGTTGTGAGATTGTTCTGAGAAGAATTTGCAAATGCAGGGACCATACCGCGTGGGATCAAGAAATGGTGCATAGAAGCGGTGACATGCGATTTATCATGTTTCCATCGATGACGCACACCAGTCAAATGTGCAGGAAGTCGATAACCGTATGAAAATGCCTGTGGGTAGAGAGAATCTGCGGATAGATCAATGCGAAGATTAGAAACTAAAGTGCAGTGATTGACCCAGAATGAACTGATGTGGTGCAGAAATGCATGTTAGAGTGAAAGTTCATATTTCAAGTTTGAGATAGTTTGATCTTCTTGGCCTATTCGCTTGAGAGGGAAGAAAGCAAAAGTTATAATTGGGAAAGGAAACCCGAATGCCTCGCCGTCTCAATTACTTCTCACAGCTTGGTATTTTGCACAGAAACTTCGTGGCTAGCGCTCATTCGGCCGATCTAGAATAAGGCTCTTCCCAACTTCTCCAGGATTCGTTATTGTCATCACGACACTTGGCGTAACCCCCACTAGACGAGACTCCTCTCGTTACCAAACATCCTTGAAACACACATGATAACAACAATAATGATAATGAATAACATCCCCTACATACTTATGTAGATCATCCTATACATATGACATTTCGATTTGCGATATACACTCGATGGGAGTTAAATCGAATGTATGGAACTATCAATTGTTCGTTTTCGAGGGGCGGTTGCACAGCGTTTCGCACGCACGGCATAACTCGTTGCATATCAGCGAATAGAAGAATGACCAAGTCTGCCACTTATGTTGTAATCCCGAGTTACGGCTAAGTGCCTATTGTGTGTATGAAACCTCGAGGTCTCCGGGACGGTGTTGTATATGGTAAATAATAGGATTGGTCGAACTTACAGAATTCGCTCCAAAATCCATTATGAAAGGTAAGATTGATTGTTTTGAGAAGTAAAAGTCTAGTTTTGTGGTGGGGTATTTAGAAAGAGTGGGAGGTAATTCTTGGAACGGAGTACAAGGCACCACTACAATGTTAGATGAAACCGGTGGTTTGGAGCCAATTTATATGCATCAAAGACAAGGGACTACACATCGATGGCGCTTTATCCGTCAGGTTAGTGTGTGCAATATTCGCGCCATCGGTTGAGCTATCCCAATCCTGCCACTTTACGGCTAAGGGGTGCGCAAAGTTGAGTTAATTGAGGGCAATTGAAAGATTAACAGGTACCATGAAGCACCCACGAGTTCAGATCGTTTTGGGTGACAAAATGTTTGTGTTGTCTCGTAAAAAAGTCGGAGGTTTGCTCTTCCAGTACTTCATCTCAGTTTTGCAGCGGCCGTTTTTGCCCTATACGCATTGCGCCTTCGACTTTCTGTATTGCAGGCTAAATTCATCTGCAGAATGTCTCTGCTCATAGGATCTTATGTTGTGTAAGGTCCACTCCCTTGGTAAATCAAGAATGACAGAGAGAAGCCAATTCATTGTCATCGGCAATGATGGCGTAATCTAAATAACTCTCAAGTTGTTTTATTGTAAAGTATTTAGCATATTGCCGGCATATCCATTAGGAGAGATATCAGATCAGCAGATCATCTTTGAGCCTCTCATAAATTGCTCTTGCTTCGCGAGTAGCCAATGATGACACGAGAGACAGAAATACACGAGAATAGGATAAGAATTTTCCTTGTTTCAATAGTTCAAATAAGAGCGGTGAGGCCTGGTAAGGAAAGCGGTGCCTAATACCATGTGCATGAAGTTATCCGGGTGAATTCTCACGATATCTGACGACGTATACTGTTTTTTCTTCTTCTACCAAGAGAATAAGCTGACGGTGAGGAAGAAAATGCATGGGGTAGAATTTGACTGACCTCGATAAAGCGTGGGGGTTCTAATCTTGATGAGAACTGATGGGAGAGGCTAGAAATTATGATATGTATAAGAGGAATGAAGATCACTACAACCAAGTGAGAAATTTGGAATCCGCACAACACTCTACTTTGTACTTCGAAGAAATTGTGCTTTAATTCTACGGCCACGCACAAGCTGAAAGACTTGCTTGGATCATTGAAAGTCTTCTGGCTTTGACACCATCGAAGAATAATCTATCTTCGCATACCATCCCGCCCTTACCACAGTTGAGCACCATCCGAACTTTGAATTGTCAATAATGTCGTACTCTAGCGAAGCCTATACCTGCTGCTTCAATGGCAATGTGTTGGAAACATGTCAGTATTGCCGTGGTTCCCAACGAGAGTAAGTAATCATTCTCAAATACCTCTATGTCAAGCTTTACTTCCACACCAACCTTTAATTTCAGTTTCATAGAATCTAATAAGATGTCTTAGACCACGTTGTGTTCCTTGCAACAGTACTGGAGTATCTCACCACCCTTGTCCATATCATTCCAGTTCTGCAAACTACTATTCCAATAATCTGCAAACTGTGCCGGCTCATAGAAATCAGCAAGTGAGACGCTCTTCTGGAAGGAGCAAGAACAGCCATAGTGGCAGAACCGTCGGATAACTGGGCTCTTGATGTGCTACGAGTCGGAGGCGGGGGACCAATTTCATCCTTGCTGGATTTTGGCGTTGATTTTTTCTGATGATTTTGGTATCAATTGAATGAGCAGTTCACCCGTTGGTTAGATCCGGATGTGGAGAATGGAGTATCTTGTCCTGAAATTTATCTTTGGTCAGGTTAGGACTGAGCAGAGATCTGGAACTATGAAGCAAGGGGTCCAGATTTCAGAGTTATAGCATGCAGTAAGACCCAGTCATACATGGCAATTCGAGGGTTATTCAGAACGGTATACACAGAAAGACAGACGGAAGCAGGCTCAAAATTGGGTCCTATTGAGACCGATTGTTGGGAAAAATGGAGTTGGTGGTTGCGGATTTTCTGCGGCTTCGGAACGATGGATATTCATGGCCAATCCGTCGGGATGCAACTAATCGGTCGAATGTACAAGGGCAGTTCTGTGACTCGGGTCATTTTGTGATTCGGAACACTGAACAACGGCATGATGGGAGTCGATGGTTCGAAACCCCTCTCAGTTGCGAATACCACACTTTAAGAAGCCAATCAAAAGAGCATTTCAACAGGTCATGCCATCGAAGGAGGGTGACAGTCCTTTTACTAGTGTCAAGGAGCCTTTTTCATATTCTTTCCTTATGATTGATAGCAAGATTCGGTGCTACCTTGAGATGAAGGCTTAAACGCACAAACTCTAGTTTTTGATCGAGCTTGGTCCGTCAACCTATACCAGTCTTCAAATCTTACACGTGGGATGTTGTTGTATATCTGTACTCTCCATTCGCAGTATTTATTTATATGAGGGGTCCCGATTTGATCGAGATGGTTGAAAGAAGCACAAGGAGCATGGATGGCGTACAAATGCGGAGGTTTGGCACGGGGACATCGCTTCTGGGTACCAACGGTGGGAAAGCGTAATGCGTTACTTTTGAAAGTATGGGAGGTGCCCTTAGGAGTTTTTGATGATTGCGGATAAATTGAACTGATTTTTCCATACTCTCCACATATTTTGAATGAATGAGCTTGATTAGGTGTTCGATTGAATTCGAAACGAGTTCCTGTTTTTCTTCTTCGAATGTACTCGCTTCCAGTGAGTATTAAATACGCCACAGGGGGGCACGACATACTTGGTGACAATAGCGCAAACACGTGTGAGTAAATGTCATACTGCGACCATGAGTTTAATTAACTCATTGCCGATAAGGTCCTTGACAAATAATTGCATTGGGATAGGGAATCCTCAAACCCTTCCTCATTTGACCACTGGCGTTTTCCACATTGAGTGAAGATCATTAAATAACACTCGCGCATGTTTGTGATGCTTATGAGCTCACCAAGAAAATGCGTACACAGCATATCCGAACCCAGTAATGGAAACTACCTTTTTTTTCATTGGTGCCAGCATTTCCACACCTTATTTTGGTGAAGCACTGTCGATATGCTATTTGTTCTCTTGATTCGTTTGTTTGGTCCCCAACTGAAAGCGATTGAGCACCTCAATTGGCAAGCTTGCTATAGAACCCCTATCTCAGAAAGTGACAGAAAGTACGGAATCTCGATATACAGCCAGAACGATTAAGTAGTGCGACATGCAAGTAGCGGCTGCAGATACATGCAACTTGTCAGTATAATGTTCCGATGTTATGGAACCGGCCATCTGACTGATAATGTTCCCAAGAAAATGTAATGGTTGATATGGGAGACGAAGGTCAAGCGAATCAGTTGATCCATTATCCCAGGAGGGTTAGATTTTCTCCTTTCCCGCTCTTTCGCGTGTACTATTTGAACGTCGGGATCGTGATATCGTATGTTGCTATCTTCTTGCCACCAAAATGGAACGAATTTCTCTGCATAGTTGTGACATGGTCATGGAGATATACTTTACATATGGCCGGTGTAATCAATTCATCTCATCGATATGAACAGCCGATGAATTCCGCAGCACGTCCATGTAAGTCGTGCTATGTGACAAGAATATGTGAGTGAGGGCGATCAGGTACATCGTAAGCCCCCATTTGTAATTCTCCGTAACTTCTGATGTCTAGATTCGTCAATCGAGATAGAAGTCACAACAACGGGCAGGTAGGTAAATCAAGAAGGGTATGGGCCACTGAGTATCAACGTGACACGGCACCACAGTCACGCGTTTTCCACTGATCCTGTTGCACCACATTGAAGAAAATCGTGATTGCAGGGTTCCGATGAAGACTATCATAGGATTGGTTGATGAAAGAATATGGTTCGATTCAAGGAAAGATATCTGCATGTGACTGCCAGCATACGTAAATGGTATGTATGAATGAGATTCTACTTGATAAAGAAATGCCTAATTTCAATAATGTCCTGATATTCGTCCTCCGTGGGCAAAAGAGTGATCTTCTGGGTTTGGGTTCGAGATTGTTGTAATGTGCAATAATGACTTGTTTGATTTCTTTCGCTCTTGAAGACAACCTACACTTCTGGTGGTCTTCAGCCATGAACCAATTTGCTCATACTCTCTCAGCATGTTCATATCATCTGGTTGATGAGGAGTAAGTATTGGGACAAGCCATTTCTGCCTCTACTCAGCCATCAACTTTGCTTACGTCAAGATTCAAGAGCTGTGTGTTTCTTTTTCTTTGCCGTTGGTGGCGAAGTATGCGTACATAGTAGAGGCACAAATAGATTAGCAACTCCATATGGCGACATTTGCGATCAAACTTTGTGCATCACAGGAAGGAACAAGAACATAGGGCTCTGTCGAGAGAAGGTATGTGATGAGTGGAATTGTTTCCATCATACATCTTGGACATTGAAATGCTGCATCACATGATGGATAGAATGCTGCTATGATTTCTCATCCTTCGGTATATTTTCTGCGAGTGTGGTGACTTGATGACGATAGTTTTCTTCAACCGTTCATCGCCGGTTTAAGTTTGATGAGGATGGAATAGAAGTCTTGTGTGATCGAAATTCAACGACATCACCCTGACTGGAGTTCGGCGTGGACGAAATAGGGATTTGGTGTATTTGACAATTCGCGATGAAAAATGAAGTTGAAGATATGCTCAAACCTGAATTACCACCACGCTAAGTATACCACTAAGTACCTAGGCACGCATTTCCTATTCTTTGCTTGGTGGGACTGATAAAAACAAAAACAAAAACTCACTCCATACTGATCCATTTCCTTGAGATTATCAAAAATTACACAGAGTATGGAATTGATCCATATTCACGAGCTCTAATAAATCCCGATAAAATTTGAGCTCAATACTAAGCTTCAAGAGAAGTATACAAGAGTGGGCGTTTGTCTTCACAGATGATTGACTTTGGAAACAGACAGAAAGATAGGATGAAAGATCAAACCATCGTTTCAAGACTTCAAACACGATGGCAATAATTATCCATTCATACGATGGACCAAGGACATCATGTACCAGAATCGGAATGTACCTACCTACCTGCCTACCTACCTACCTACCTACCTAGGCTTCGTCTTCTCTCAATATTCTCATTCAGATTTGTCAAGTGGCTCTTCAGACTGAGATGTTTCTAGCATGTAATTTGAGTGTGCGATTTTGTCATCCAACGAAGCGCCTCCTATTTTTGGTGAAAAGTCAAAATCGATCGTATTTGGCTGTTTCGCCGATTAGTTGGCCACAAAGTCAATTGATTCGAGTGGGCGCCGCGCCGCCCCGAACCGATGAAGCATTGAATGTATCCTCTAGGATGTCTTCAATTTTCACATTTGTTTATTGCGAGGTCATATGAGCTGCCAATGCTTGTAATGGGTAGCCTCGGTTTCATAACATTATGGACAAGGCGAATTTTTGCGATCAAAGTGGAATGAATGTACGCGTTTAAACTTTATCCTCGCTCTCGGTCTCCTATTCAACAATTTCAAGCCTCGGCATTCCGGATTTGAAGCCCGATTTCACGATGGAGTCATTTTTTCTCATAGATGCAAATCATGCAATGCCAGAAACGGTTGGCAGATGACTATTGATTAAGAAGCAAGAGTCTCGACCATCCGTTGCTCCATCTGACGTTTCAACTCCTGATCGCTGTCATTGTTGTCTAATGCACGTGTGTGGATCTAATGAAAATTTCTTTCATGGGCGTTAAGATTTTGCGGGGGAAAACAAGGGAAGAATAATGAAGCGGTGTTCTTCAGCCCTGTTGCTTCTACAATGTGTAAGGGGTGAGCTTGTGAAGTTGTGGGGAATGAATTAAAAAGTTTTCAGTGTGTTGACATCACTAGAAAATCTCTTTTCAGTTCTGACTCTAAAATTCTATGGAGCTTTGAGTTGGTAAAGGTTTATTTGGAAAGTATTCAAGGAAGAAAGAGAGAAAAGGGAAAAAAACTGAGCAAGAAAGAAAAAATGTCTTCAAATACGATGATCCTATTGGTTCATTTCTACTAAATGATGGCATTAAAATAACAGACATTGAGACATTGAGACATTAAGCCATCATTTCGCCATCTCGCTACCTCGCCATCACAACGGAATATTGCCCTTCCTTGTAGTAAGTTGTCAGCACACAACTTTAGGTTTTCATGGTACGGTACCTGAAAATCTAAAGCCGGGCGGAGAATTTTTGAATCGAATAGCTACCTAGGTACATAGGTATTAGGTACAGACAGGCAAATAAGCTAATTGGCGGTAAGACGAGGCTCTTTCGTACTTTAGGTTAGATGTGAGGTTACCCGAGTACAACTCACCTGCAGACTGCAGTTGATGAGTACATACATAGGTAAGTAAGCTTACATATATAGCAAAATTTAATGAGATCTGGAAAGATTATGGCGAGATATGGCGATGTATTATCTATAGTTGACAATAAATACAATTGAATCATTTCTTTTGAAATGATGTTTTCCATAGCATGAAGCACGTTTTCCATGGCTCAAATTGATACGTAGATACCTAGGTAGTAAAGTACATCCATACATAGACTTGATCAACAAATACAAAACGCATAAGAAACAAATCAACTCATCTCCTCCATACATGGTGCCACTTTCTTTGACACTCAGTCACACTCAAGGAAGTCTCTCACCGTACCACACACACCACATGGCTGGCCATTTAGTAACTTGTACCAAGCGTAACTTTTTCCTCCTCAACTCATCGACTTGGCAAGTTGGCATGCATGAGAGATCTGATGCGAAATTGCTGACGAAATTGAAACTATTCGTATAGTCACTCACGATGTTGCAAGATCGACTGGATATCCGAATTTCAATTACCCCCAGGTTTGCTCAGAGGCCAGGGACACGACCAGGAGGCCCAGGAACATACGAACCAGGATAGACAAGGAAGAAGCTAAAAATGATCATTTTTCGAGGATTTTCGAGGATTTTCCCCTTAAGCGAATGGAAATAGAAGGATCTAGCGTTCAGTGATTTCGTAATAGTAACCACCAAATCCATCACGAGTGCGAGAACTTTGGTAACTTTGGCAACTTGGCTCCAAATTGGTTGGTAGGAAGTTGGTGCGTGCGAGTAATTGTATGGAAAATGACTTCCCAAGGTTGATTGATCCATGTCATTTTGTTTACTTTACGGCAAAGCGGAGAGCGGTTACCTCTAACTGCAAAGTGTC